TGTAGGGAAGGGGCAGTTTTACCCTTTGCAAGCTGCTGGGTTGAGGAACACTGTTGCTTTCTTCAACGGCATACTGGAAGGGATAAGCTGGTTGCCAAAAGCCTAAGCGAGATAAAAAGAGCAGAGTTCAGTTTTAAGCACGTTGGTAAAACAGTTCAAAATAATGCATCTCTACAAATGTCAACGGGCTTTCAAGCCTCATGACATTCAAATGACTTCCATCTTCAGCCACTGTGCAGGTCTCCTATTCAAAGACCTGCGTTCTTAGCAACAGCCCAAACCGCTGTCGTTAAGTACCCTTTAGGTCATTTTTACAATTCCACCACCATTTCGTTTTTGTCAACCTCTGGTTTTCTGCCATGGGCAGAGATCCAGGGAACTATCCTTGACTCCAAGGTTACTTGATTTTCATTCCTTATGTAATTCTCATACACCTGCCTGCCACTTTCCTTCTGCATCTTTTTCCACTTCTGTACTTCGTTTCTTGTATCTTTGCTCATTTTTATATTTTCTGTGCTTAAGTTTTTGATGATATGAAAGAGAATTTGCCCTGACCTATAAGCAAGCTCACTGTTTCTCAGACATTTTTTCTTCCTAATGTCTGCATATAAAAATCAACTAATTCCTCTTCAACTTTTCATCCAATTCTGAATAGGTGCCTCAATTTTAAATTCTCTGAGAGTTACTCCATACAGCCTCTTGTACCTTTTAGCCATTTGTACCTATTTCCATAGGCTATTTCAGCATAGTAGAGACAAGAAAAGGCAAAGCTTCCATGCATGTTACTTCCCACTTTTTTTAGGTCAGCTAAAGGCATCCTCACTACTGCACCAAATCAAACTGGGTTTGAGTACAAGGATGACGACGTATTCAGCAGTACCATCCAGAGGGTCAGAAACAAAGTAGGAACAAAAGACTACTGCGCCAAACACAAGACACAGTCAACCGTCCCTGTTTCCCCCCTTATCTTGAAAGTTAATCCCCCTAGCAGGAATTTTTATATTGAAGAAGGTGGACACTGTACACAAAGCACACTAGATTTTAGTGATCGTTAGCTGTTTAAATTTGTAATTAATTCCACTTGCCAACTTTGCTCAGGAAATCTCAATTAAAAGAAGCGTGCAGCTGGCTATGTTGCTTAAAACATTCAAATTTCTTCTTCAAGAAAGGAAAAGGATAAGAAAAGTTGTTGAGACTAAAGGAATCTTCAAAGAAAGGGAAACAAATCAATAGGTCTTATGCTTTACTCAAAAATCAGCTGGAAAACAGACCAACTTATTTTATTGCAATTTTTGGATAGGAATTGGGAAATATAAGGGACCTCTAGTATGTTACAGCTGTTAGAAACAATTAATTGTTTGCTTGGGGGGGGCACAATGTGATATATTTGCTTGCTCTAAGCAATCTAATAAGGCTCATAGAAAAATTATGAGTAATAACATAATCACTTCTTTATGTAACATACTTAGACATTTATGTTATATAGGGGGGCATTTCTAAAGCAAATGCTGATTTTTAAGACAGGAAATAAAAAAATAATAACACAACATTCTACAAGTCTTTTTTTCAGAGCTCAACACAAGGAAAGACAACTTAAAGCCAGACATTTAAAACGGTTATTAAATATACATATATACACACAAAGGTATAATTTAGGAAGGTCAATGCCTTTTTCACTTCCTTGTCAAATACACACTTCCAGGTATTGCATTTCTGCACTTCTAAGATGACAATCATTATTTTGCAACTATGGAAAACCCTTTATAAAAAGGCTTTATAATGCTTTATGAATACTAACAGAGCAACTACATTCCTTTACAGAAAACTATCCCTGCTTCAGAGAGCAAATTCTTTGCCAGCTAAACAGGACCTCTTTAACACATGCCCAGAGTTCAGTAACAACAAGGTCAATCAGCAAGACCACATTTCCAAAGGAAGTCCACAGTCAGCTGACAATGGCTTATTCCAGAGAACGACGTGTAAAAATTTACAAATCATAAATGGGTTCTTTATTATAGAATCTTTCTATGATCATTTGCCACCCCAAGGCTGTCACCATAAACTGGTATTTAAATTCAAACATGCATGGTAGAGTCTTTGCATGAAATACTGCTGTAGCAGATGCTTTGGCAGGAATGTGGGCGCCTCATCAATTTGGTATTGTAATAGGCTTAAAAACTTAAAAATCTGGTGTAAAAGTTATAGGGAGATCCCCCCACTTCATTCAGACAAAACTTTTTCTTGAGTGAGTCTGCCTCTATTTTTTCCTAATACTTATACAGCACTATAAATACAAGTAGCATTTTTCAAACAATTATAGATTGTTGTTATTTTGAAGAACATACCAGACATTTAATATCTTACTGCTGTATTGCTGTGTGTTTTCAAGCAGTATTTGCCACTGACACATCAGTGAGAATGGAAATTACAGCAAGAATTGATTACTAGGCTTTCTGGTTCATTCCTTTCTAATGCATGAGTCTTCTGCAGGATATTTTCCCAGACTTTAATCACTGAAATAAGGAAGCTCTATTGACAGTGCTTTTGCTGTTTCATTTACAAGAATAAACCATAATGGAATAGATCCCATCACTTAATGACTGGAAGTAAGAAACAGGAAAGTCAGAATTTCCACAACAGAACTATCTTCTTCTACCAGTCTTTCCTTTGCAGATACACCTTTTTGACAGCATATACACTTAGGTCGTTTAACTTCTCCTTATGTATCATTTCATCAGTGTCTTTTTAATTTTTTTTTTAATTTGGTCAGCATGCTTTGAACACTGAGGTATTAACTGCTATTTTCGGCAATATAAAAAACTTCTATCACTTTGATATTATGCAGTAAAAATGAATATTGAAAACATAAAAATAAAGAACAACTGATACTGTGAGTTGGAAATGCATTTGACTCTGAAGCTGTAAGTATGATTTACGAAAGCAGTATTTTCAGGGAAAGACTTTTCTTATTCTTTCATGAGACTTGAGCTCCCTTACATCTATTCGGGCATGAAGTTCCATTGCCCAAATCAAGCTGCAGTGAATATCTTTCCCTCAACAGCAGGCAGGCTAAAATTGGGATTATTCAGGTGCACCACAGAGGCAGAGTAGTCTCAAGGAAAGATCTTTAATGAGAAAAGTAAATTTCACCATTCTTCTCAGGCCCCAGTACATAGCAATGATGGGAGCAGTGTTACACCCTGCAAAACCTCTACGATCTGGCATGGAGAAGGTGGTTTAGAATAAAGTTTATTTGTGGGAGGTTGAAAGATTCTTAAAACCCTACACCACACGACAGAGGTAATCAGAGCCAGTAAGCAGTACCTATGCAGTGGTGTAATCTATGGGCAACAGCACCTGAAAGTGCCCATGAAAGACTGCTTATTAAGGACAGGATTTCTTTACGGGAATACTACAGCATGGGAATTTGTTCATTGCTGGCTGCCCATGCAGACCACAAACTACAAAATGCAATAGTCGATAGACTCAGACAGTAACTACCCCTTTCTCTCTGAATACCAGCTTTCTTGTCAATGACTGGTTGTCTCCATTAAGTTCCCAGTACATGGGTCTCAAAAGCTCTAGGTCAGTCATCACATTTAGTATCCTCAATAAAAGCACTCGGGCTCAAATAGACCAGGGTAAGGTCTCTCCAGCCAAGCACTAACATGAAGCAGTTTGCACTGCTTCTGCCCAAACTACGCCCATCGTGGTGGATCTGAGATTTCAGTCTCCCATCTTATCAACAAATCATCTTCCTACCGGAACTCTACAGGCACAGAGTAATTACACCTGCAGAAATGGAGGTCCGGGTAGCTACAGCAGTAACTAAGATTACCCTAACGATAACACCACACCGTCCATCGCAACAGCAGAGTCAGGGCACGAAAGGTATAGTAGTCCAGCTGCAGGCCTCATCCACCCTTTGGCACTTTTAGCAAATGAACACAGATGGCATCATTATAAGGCTTGTCACGTGGAGAGGGCCCGTTGGGAAAATCTCAGGAGCTCTGCACAACTAAGATAAGAGGGAGATTTTCATCTAATTTTACCACTTAGAAGGGTATTACCTGGGCTTCTTGGCATGCAGCTCTTCGTAGCAGGTTATCGCTATTAGGCAAGACAGAAAATAGAGTGGACATTAGGTTGTGTAAGTGTAAAACAGTTTGCTCATTTTTAAAATGTAGGTACATACCCTTTTTACACACACATTGACAGCACTACAATAAAAAATACACGTTCTTTAAGATCTATTTAACACGTTTTAAGGGTGAAACACACCCATTTAAGCACACATGCATAATTTTTTTCTGCATGTGCACAGAAAAACCCTTTCTATAGTAAAGAAAAGCAGACAACAAAGACCAGGATGCCAAGTGTGCTGAGGTTACATAAGCTATGAGACACTGTATAATTGTGATTTATTTTTTACTTGCTACATAACTGTACTCCAGATCTAAGGCAGGCGTGGTTTTGTTTTTTGTTGTTTTTTTTTTTTAATGTTAATACTGCCTGTTATTTACACTGAAGGTACTTACCATTCTGGCAGTATAGAAGGGATTTAGGGTAGACTTAAGTGTAACTTCCATGGACTTAAACCTTTGTGCATTGTAATTGTGAACTCCCCTCTCCATCAGTTTGTAAGCTGAACACATGCTAATGCAGCACCTATCACCCACCTAAAGCAGTAACTCATAGAGGTGAGAATCACTCAACTCACCAAAGTGAAGTTTAAAAATAAAGAAGAAAATATCAGTGTTAGATATGCCACTGACGGTCATTTTAGAAAGAAATTCCAGACTAATCCTTGTGCTTCTCATTGGTGACAGACAGCATTAGCAAGGTTGGCAAAGCAAACTGGAGACAGAGCTACTGAGTGAGGAACAAAATTCAGTTCTTCCCCAGATCAAAAAATGCCCTATTGGCACTTGCAGACAAAACAGGGAATCCTGTTCTGCAGTGCCCAAAGCCTCACCTGTCCTTTAGACGCCAGACACTCTTCCTTCCTTGCTAAAACCAAAAAACTCCTCCAGCTTTCCCTTGGCACACCTGGCAAGACGGTACGTTATTGTCTCTAAAGTACCAAGTATAAAAAAACCCCAAACAATTATAGTCAGCATACGAAAATGAATACGCTACACCAATTAAAATGATTCAAGGCCAACCATGAAAAACAAGTGTCTAGGAAAGAAGCACACTCCTGCCACAAACTGTGGCTCATCAGGCCAAGTCTTCCAATGGAAATGGCAGAAAAGAAGTCAAAGCCTTGGTCAGACCTCTGGACACAAACACGAGTGCGATTTATTCAATTCCATAAGCTTACGCTATTTATCCATCACTGGAGCTATATAAACTGGTTTTCTGATATCACCAAAAGATGCTGCAAGGTCCTAAAAGAAGCAGGGTGACTTCAGGTGAGATATAAAGTTGGGTTCTGAGAAAATAACTCTACAGCAAAAGCCCCACAGATTTATTCTTAGTAATAATAAGACGACAAAGGAAGAATTGTTCATATAGATAAAAATATAAATAGTACCTCACAAGGATAACAAGTAACTGGAGTTACTTGTTAGCAACTTGGAGTGTCTGAAAAAAAAGATTTCCTCAGAGGCATAAGCATGTTTTTAACGGCCATGTTTGCTCCTTAAAACCAAAGGAACAAGTCATTTGTATTAAGCACCTGAAATATTACTTAAGAGGAGCAACAGACTTGCTTTTGATTGCAGTAATACAATGAAAGCAGCCTAGTTAAAATAATTGTCTCTGAAAAGGTTTGTGTCCCAAGCTAAACAACATTGTCACAGCTAATTCCAGTTTAATCAAGACAGTGCGACAGGCTGTCCACGCTGCGCTGCTGAGGGCACGAGCCCTCACATAGGGACATTTTTTCCCACTCTGTGATTACGGACGGCCAGAGCAAACACAAAGCAATTACAATTTCAATATGTAAAGCTGAAGTATTAAGGGATATCAAGAAAACCCCACTATTAAATGATAGCTGCATAGTTGACATATTTGACAATTGCTGTCCTAACCTTATTAACAAACTCTAGTCAAATCCATGTTATCTGTTTACTTCACAGTGATGCTATTCTGTTCAGGAGTCAAGCTGGGTCACATCGTCAGCCACTATGTTTTCCTGGTGCCCACAACCTTGTGCTGCAGTGTTAATCGCCTTTAAAGTGGAGTCCAGCACAACTTTTCAAATGCAAGCAAAAGATACGGCACTTTCTGTCCCAACCTGCAAAGACCCTCAAAATAACTGTCAAGGATGGAAGCTTGATTCAGCTCAACAGAGTCTTAACCATAAATATTAAGCTTGATAGTTCAGATGCCAACATTTAAGCTTATTGTCTCCTGCATTGAAGCACTTAGAGAAACAGTCTACTCTGACACATATCATTTTGGTGTCAAAGGAAAGGTTTAGGTTCTGAGACCAGAAGAACCATTTACTGTCCAATAATTTATAGGTGATTTGTCTTACCAGTAGCATAGCACCCTCAGAATCCCATGCCATCCCAGCCACACTCACAGGATTCCCATTGATTCAAGTAGGACATATATTTCAAAGTCCTCTGAGTTTGGCTTAAAGATGTCCCCAGTCCGGCTTAAAGATGCCAGGTAACAGGAAAATTTTTATTTCCTTAAAATGTTATATCAACATTTAATTATCTTCGTACTTAAGGAAAGAAAAAAGCACAAGTGCACTCACAGGGGTGTATCTGTGAGAACAGCAGTCCTCCTCCTCCTCTGTCACAGCTCTTACCTTTACTCATCTGACATGGCTCATCTAAAGTACCACAGGTGGGTATGGAAGGCCTCTGCGGGTCATACCAATTAATAAATATAGCTAGGAAAATCTTAAAAAAAGCTAAAATTTAACTTCTTAAAGTCTTCTGTCTTAGTACGTATTACCTTATGAAAATATGACTGCATACCAGCTTCCAAAGAAAAAGATACTTCAATGATAAACGTGAGATTTTGTTGATTTTTTGTATTTTATTGACTAGTATTACATAGTGACAAAGCCTTTTCAACAACACTCCAACACGAGCAGGTGGAGGCAGAGGGAAATTGCTGCACTGCCTTAAAGAACACACAGAGATTTCTTCTGACTTGCACCATATCCACAGCAAACTGAAAATCAATTTTTTACTTTACGTTTCCCCTAAGGGCTTGTAGACAAAACTCCCGCCTTACAGCAAAACTGATGTGCAGTATTGCATCTGCTGGCCACCGAGAGCTGCCTTTCCGCTCTGAGAATTAAGCATCGCACGGCTTACAACTGGGCCAACTTGCTTCAGCAGTAAAAAATTGGGAGACAGTGAGGAAAGAGCAGTGGCAGTGGGGCATGGAAGCAAGAGGATGTCCTAAGCTGAACCCACGGACAGAACTTTGGTTCAACAAAGATATCAGTCAATCCTTGCAAGGCTGGCAGCCACTGCAGCGCAGTAGCTGTTCTCTTTGGAGAAGCGCAGGTTTACACCAAAGCCAGGAACCAATGCAGAAAGAAAGGAAGAGCAACTGTCCAGAGCTCACCATGCGCCAGCCGTGTCAGGCTGCGAGAACACAGCGAGGTGTAAGAGCACAGCATTCGTACGAGTAGCTTGAACAGGGGCTGTCCTACAACATCCCTGGCGCAGGATGGTGGCCACTGCTCCTGTCCTGAGCGGTTTCAGCTAGAACAGGGAATCAACACTCATATATAAGCACACAGATCCACACAATTCAATATGTATGCTACTCCACCTGAAACTGCATCCTCTGCCCAAGTGCCAGCAGAGGCCAGGGCTGAAAGGATGGTTCCCACGATGAAAGGTCAGCCAGGACACCAATGAACTCAACAAGGAGAAGACAGCAAATTCAACTGAAGAAGCTGTTTTGAGGTCCACAGTTGTAGCAAGGGTAAGTCTTCGTCTTAGAGCCAATCAAAGCAACTCCCTTAAAGTGACCGTACTACAGATGTATAAAGCAGCTCAGATGTGAGATCCCATTTCAAAAAGGGTTATCAGCATTAAATCTCAGACTATTAATTACATTCAAGCCAGAAGCCTAAAAACTCTCCTGTTTAGTGTCTGCATCAAAACACAGAGTTTTGTGAGAAGAAACATCACCAAACCTGTGTATATAGGATGACTCCTCAAGAGCTATAACAGAACTCCTAAAAGAGATTTTTATCTTAGCACAAAGCTTTTTGGCTGCTTCCTATATTGGGTCTGGCTGAGATACAGCTAATTTTCCCCATAGCAGCCCTCACAGTGCTGTGCACTGGTAGCCAGCAAGGTGTTGGCAACACACCGGTGTTTTGGCTACTGCTGAGCAGTGCTGGCACAGCATCAAGGCTGTCCCTCCAACATTCCCCATCACCAGCGGGGTGGGGGTGGGCAGGATCTTGGGAGGGGACACAGCCAGGACAGCTGACCAACAGACCAAAGGGATATTATTCCATACCGTATGACACCTGCTCAGCAAAAAAAGCTGAGAGAAAGGAGGAGGAAACGGGGCATTCATTATTTACAACATCTGTCTTCGGGAGCAACCACTACACATACTGAAGCCCTGCTTCCTGGGAAGTGGCCAGACATCACCTGCTGATGGGAAGTAGAGAATAAATCTTCTGTTTTTCCTTTGCTTCTGCATGTGACCTTTGCTTTTGCTCTATTAAACTGCTTTTACCTTGACCCACAAGTTTTTTTTCGATCTCTCCCCTGTCCTGCTGAGGAGGGGAGTGACAGAGTGGCTTGGTGGGCACCTGGTGTCCAGACAAGGTCAACCTACCACACTTCCAATACAGCAAGAGCACAGTGTCCTCTTTGCTGGACATTAGCATTTACTTCCAGCTTGGTTTTCGAAGGGCATGAAAGACAAATCCTAGTTTTCATCAGCTTTACCCAAGACTCAGAATTTATACTCCCTTTTTTGACAAAGTTTTGATGAAATAAATTCAACCACTCAGGAAGTATATGCAGAAAGGTGACAAAGTGAGTTATCAGTTGGCAAACACGCAGAGACTAACATTCAAATTATAGATAACAATAACACTCAGATTACTGGCAAGCAGTCAAAGGCCCAGACACCTTGCCAGCATTTTCTACAGAGAAAGTCAATATTTTAACATATACAGAGTAAAACTGAGTATCTGATGAGTCCACTGCCTCAGTACAAACTGAGGGTCCCCGACCTGACAAAGTGATGATCACTTACCCGCTAACACCACTATAACGGTCTGGCCAAATCTGACAATCAGTTAAGCTGATGTCCATCATGCCAGAGATTAAATTTCTGCTGATTTGACATAGCTGGTGACTCACTGCACCACCTGGACACATAACGAACAGCAGCAGCTCAATTCAGAAGAGGTGATCCAGGACAAAAAGGTGAGAGGGGCTTCCAAACTTGAAGGAAATTTTAAAACAATCATATGGTATCTTTATCTGTAATCAACCGCATGTGTATATGTCAAACAGAAGTACATTACTGTGTATAAGCATGTATCTGACAATCTGCATGCTCTCTAAGCTTTGTTCTAGTACATTAAATTCAGTGTCCCTCATACCTGTAGTATGATTTGCTATAAATTAAAATTATGCTCACACATAAATTCATGCAACCCAGAGAAACTAAAGGGACACAACCTCACATGTGACAATACTGAGTGCTCTTCCTACTTCTCCAGTACTACAAAGGTATTTGTTATCCCAAATGCAAGACAATGGATTTTGAAAATGTGTTCTTTTAGGAGGAAAAAAAAAAAGAATTTTAAGACTCACTGAAGTTTTGTAAGAATACCAATAGGGTTTTAGTTAACAGTAGTTCAACCAGACATAATGCCTATCATTTTACACATGAAAAACCTTTGCCACCTCCTGATCTATGTCTCTTTTGAAGAGGCAACTTCTGTTACATTACATACTTAGAAGGGCTGAATCACAAATGGGGGAGGGGGAACCTGCACAAGGTTTCCTCTTTATTCTTCCCTTTCATCTGAAAACCCCTTACTGTTAAATCAGTCACTACTTGAGCAAACACCTCCAAAGATGAAAAGCTAACACACTGATCCAGAAACTAAATGCTGCATGAAGAAAATATCATACAAGACTGGGCTAAGAAGCTTCTCGACCTTTACAGTTATCGTCATCCACAACCTTTAGACTAACTCGGTGATGAACCACTACACGCCAGTGCCCCTCGTTCCTCTACAGCCTATGGAGCATAAAGGCCTCCACATCAGACCCCACAGCACAGTCTGCAGGGTGCAGGAGGGGGACACCCGGGTGTTCCCCGGCATGGGGAACAGGTCTGGAAAAGGTAGCATTCTTCCTGTGCATGTTTGTGCACGTAGCATCCTCCAAAGCTTTAAGGAAGTACTCCAGAGTTCTTCTGTCCCTGTGGGCACATACAGACTGACCATAGAAGAGTTGCCATTTATTTGCAGGACAGATTGTTATTTGCAAGAGCTCCACTTAATGCAGGCATCATAGCCTCTGCATCCAAAAGAAGAATGAACCTTGAGAAGTCAAAAAAGCAAATGATCTTCGCCTTGCAAGAGAAATATCTTAGAAAATCCACAAGGATGGAAAAGCCAAGAAGAGATGCAGGATGAAAAACAAAAATTTTCTTCAGCTGCAAATAAACAAGCAACATCTCGGCTAATTCCAAGAAGTCAGAGGCTCATCTGAACTGATGCTGTGCTAAAGCAAGCCCCTTCGTCAGAAACTCCAGTGATGCCAGAAACCGAAGCACAAGACTTCACTAAACCTTTAATCTGTTCTAAAAGGGCAAATATAAGTCTAGTCAAGTATGCTTCATGCATAGCAATTTAGCCTCTGATGTCAATAACAGCAAGCCTCACGGCCAACAAAGCCCATACATGTTTCCCTCATTAACCTCTTCAAGCACTGCCTCCAGCAGTTTGTGCATGGGGCAAAAGGCACCTCTCACGCTCCCTAGTATAACTGGTACATAAACAAAGAAACTGGGAAAAGGGAACATATGAAAAAAAAAAAACTTCACCTGAAACCATTACCACATTCTGAAGGCAAAACAGAAGCCGCAAAGAATGATCCTGGCCTATTCGTTGCTGTCCAGCAGCCACAAGATAAGGCCTCTGCACAGAGTAGCGCAAGAGGGCTGCTGAGACCACCTTTGAATTTTTACACTCTTGCCATCAGGTTCTTCTGTGACTCCTCGTTTTCATACTCCCTAGCTAAAACAATGCGCCACCAAGATCAAGAAATACCTCAACAGTTGCCACTTTTTTCAAGCAGTATTTAAATCTCTGAAAGCATTACTTTACAGCAGTGCTTCAGTGTACATCAAAGTCACAAGTCACACAGAGCTGCTTGTCATCACAGGATTTCCTACCTTGCATTTCCCTTACAGATGAAAGTAGAGATTGAAGAATGGGATGTGTAAACATTTTTTCCTCCACTACATCATCTGGGTTAAAGCACTGTGTCTACACTTGGTGCAAATATCCTCTCAGCACTGAAATTTAGATACCAAAAGTTCCCTTTTTGTTTGTTTGTCTTTCATATTGATGTGCGGAAAATCGGACTCCACAACTGGGAAAGTTGTAAAGTAGGTATGTTTATTCAGCGCTGGGCAGCACGGGGGGTCATCCCACCAAAATCGTGCGCACCTTGCGGCAATTCCCTTTGAATTTTATACAACAAAATGTTACATATTCAAAAAGCGCCTATACATATTCATGATCTTTCCGTGGAAAGGCGGTCTTATTACAATGAGTTCATTTCCATTGTCTCCGCCTTTAACTCCTCTCAGCTGCGCACGCGTAGTGCCTCTTGGTGGTCGTGGGCCGGGGTCTTAGGGATGAAGGCCGTATGTCTTCCTCACTGTGCACTTTTCACCTTCACCATAAAACTTACTCAGACCGGTTCCTAATTAGCAGAGAATCCTCCGTGTTCATTCCATTCTGATTTACTACCTCCTTATCTTGTGATTGGTTACAAAAATGCAAGCAGAATGAAGGGTCATCTTGACCCTTCCTTACGCTAGTTCTTGTTAAAACATCTTACGTAAGGGTTAAGATTACTAGCTATGTGGCTTAAGCTAGTTAATGGTCCTGCTATTTTCCTTAAGTGTTAGTTCCCTCTATCAATATTTGCCTCCTTATTCACCACCGTATCACCACCTATGTTATGCTTTACGTTCTCCGTGATCATAATGTGTATTCACAGTTACTGCACAGGAAATCAATACAGCTGAAACCAGCAGTACATAGGCACATGAACTCCCAGAAACAAGAGACATAAAGGGGAGACCGGTTGTGTCTGATGCTGCTCCTAGGCCTCCTCAAGTGCCCACTCTCCATACGCAGAAGGAGCAGATAGAGTCTTTTTCTTAATGCTCTATTTCAGTAGCTCTCTACAGGACCCAGGTCTGACGGTATTCTGCTGTCATTAGTATCTGTGGCAACAGAAGACCAGTAAAGAGGCCACTTACTTACACAAGCAGGGTACCTGGGAAGGTCACAGGCTGCTCTGCCCCACCAGCAAATCCCTTATATGAATGCCACCGAGCAATTTCTTCCTGCTCATTTTGTACATTAAGTTTATGCTTTTGGCTAAGAGATATCTAGAATAATAGAACTTCAAATAATTACTCACATTTCACTATTTTATCTGAAGTCAAAGTTCAATTCCCTCGTCAGAGGGAAAAGTGGAATGTAAGCTCACAGATCCACTGACATTACATGAAGGCATAAAAAAACCCCAAACACCAACCTGTTTAGCACAAATATTTCTGCTTACAACACCTCAGTACAGAATCATAAAACAGTTTGGGTTGGAAGAGACCTTTAAAGACCATCTAGTCCAACGCCCCTGCAGTGAGCAGGGACATCTTCAACTACAGCAGGTGGCTCAGAGACCCGTCCAACCTGACCTTGAATGTTTCCAGGGATGGGGCATCTGCCACCTCTTTGGGCAACGTGTTCCAGTGTTTTGCCACCCTCATCATATAAAATTACTTCCTTATATCTAGTCTGAATCTACCCTCTTTTAGTTTAAAACCATTACCCCTTCTCCTGTTGCAACGAGCCCTGTCTCCATCTTTCTCATAGGCCACCTTTAAGTACTGAAAGGCTACAACATCTCCCAAAAGCCTTCTCTTCTCCAGGCTGAACAACCACAACTCTCTCAGCCCTTCTTCTACATACTATGTACTTCTCTTCTGCCTGTTGGCCCCTGTAGGCATACACATGAAACCATGACCTTGTTACCAACACTTTCACACAGTTATAATCCGTCTTATCATAGCCTGCCCTACAATCAGCAGTTACAAGGAAAAAAGTGTGGAGGGAGAGTTTTTTTGCTGCTTGCCCTACAGCCAACCAAGTCTTAGTGCTTCAGGTAAGAAGTAAGCCACTAAAGCAGATGTACCATTCAAAACAAAGGCTGATTTAATGCAAAAGTCCCTAGGCAAAAGGAAATAAAGAAGGAAAGTATAATAAAAAACATGAACAGATTTATTTTTCTAAGTTTTCTACTGAGGCTCTGGCAGCATTTTAATGTAAGCAGAAAAGAACACTGCTAAAATCATGACTTAACAATTAAAAAGACATTAAGACAATGACAGAATAAACAGCACCAAAAGTAATCATTTTTAAAAATAATTTGGCTATACTTGCATTTTAGTCAAGTCTATTAACCATAATCTTAAAGGACAGGGATTAAAATATAAGCCTAGCTATGTAAAAACTGTGAACCAGAATTTTGCTTACTCTAAAGAACATTTGTCTCACAGATAAACAGTGAAAATGACACCCTTGTAGGTACCACTCAGCTGCCGGGCTCCATCCAGCTAGGAGGGGGGCAACAGCAAAGCAGGCGTACCAGGGAGGCACAGGGCACAGCTACTGCTGGTGCCGTGCCTCAAGAAAGGGACAACCGCTCCTGCAACAGAAATCTGGCATCTTTCGTGAGGTATATGGCACCGTGAAAAGAAAAAAGGAGGTGGGAAAACCCACGGACATATGATGGACACGCTGTGATGGCCGCCCTCTGCGCATCAAGGTGGCTTCCCCATCAGCCTGGTACCAGTGGCACCATTTGCAGGTGTAGGGCCTCTGGTTTCATTCATCCTTATAATACTGGTTAAAAGCAAGCAAGTGGATGGTAAGCACTTGGCTGATGGCTTTTTTTTTTTAATTAGAAAAGAAAAATCTTTCTCCTCTCCAATAGGCCCCAAAATGATTCA